TGTGTCTTAATCTCGCTCTTGGGATCGTATCGAAACCTCCCCGATATTGGATCGGGACAGCAGGAAGAACCTGGAAAGTGGGACCTTCATCCTTCACCTGCCTGTAGCTCTGCTCTGTGGAAAGAGGTGAAACTCCTCCCCAGTGGAGTCCATGGCCACCATCTCTCTCACAAGGCATCATGCAGGCTCTTTTTGTTTGTATAGTTCAGCATGCAAACACGGTGGTGAGTGGAGTAGCCCATAGCCCATTGTCACCCTGGAGGCTCATGGAAGACCCTGTGGCCCTGCAAGCTGTTGCCCACTCAATGATGAGCCCAGCGCGTGGGCTCAGCAGGCTTTTCGGGGCTGGGGGAGTTTGACTGAGCATTGAGTTGTTTAAGATATCCTTAGCTGCCTCATCAGTCACCTACTCACAGTGACGTTGCAGAAGATGCCAACTACACTGTGATCTTTTCAGAGAGAAGCAAGATGAGAGAAGTCTGGGAGAAAAGGCAGAGGGTAGAGGGAGGCAAGACCCACATTATGGATGGTTTGGAGAGTTTAGCCAAAAACTGAAGTCATTTTATGGGTCATCTATGTACCTCTCTCCCACCTATTGAGATATGTCAAGCCCATGCTCAGAAGGACTCAGACCGTTGGCTCAGCATCTGCGAGGAAAAATCTTGCTCTATATCTCCTTTGAACCATTAAGACCGTGGGTTCCTCTAAAACACCAGCACCCAAAGGGAGTGAAAGCCTGGAGAGGGGTACCAGGTGACCCATCCGCTGCCTTCATTCACCAAGAGAGCCACATCAGTCTTTCTCCTCTGAATGCTTTTGAGGTCCCTTTCCTAAAAATGACATTCACAGACAGTAAACTCTATGGGGACACTACTGGAAATGATCACGTACGACTGAGAATGCTGAATCTAAATTTATAATACTCAGCTGCTGTAATCTGCAAACTGTGCTAAATGCTAGAAAGAGGCAGCAGCCGTCTTCCAAAACTGTTTTCAAGTACGTATGATCAAGAGAGCCACTTGTCACAGCCAAAGCAGGTGCACACTTCTGCTCAACCCCGAGGAAGTCACAGCAAGGATTATCATAATGTAGATCTTTATAGAAAGATCATAAAACATAAGATGAAAAATAACTATTAAGTTGTCTGTTCTAGCCACCCATCCATCCTTTATAAGTGCAAAGTGAATGATTTGCACGGGGAAGACCAAAGGTTTAAAGTGTGGGGGTTTTAACTAAAAACAGCAACAGAGGCATGAAAAGGCACGCTGCCAGCATACAAATCTTGCTTAGCTGCTGCAGTAATGGGAAACAAGGCTACAAATTAGTTTCAGAGCTGTGTATTTCCTTTTGCTTTAAAAACTAAAGGCCATTAAAAACCTGTCCTGGGAGCAGATAGGTTTTTATGATTTTTAAACACTGATTGAAAATATAAGTGAAGATACGCAGTTGGTGTGACAGCGCCCTTGGGGATGAGCAGCTCCGTGCACAGGTGTTTTGGGAAGTCTTTGTAAACCAGCGTTGCTACCCCTGGGTTAATGGATTCCGCAGAGGGCACTCGCTGACACGGCGTTTCGTCCTACTGCAGGATTTCCCGGGAGGTTTTGGGACACGGTAAGACAAGGAAAAACAGGCGCTGTTCCCGAAGCAGGGCCACTGCACGCCAGGAGCAGTGCTGCACGCTGCGCTTCAGCCTGTGACGGTGGGATGGGAGAGGGGGCAGAGGAGGAGAGCAGCAGCTCAGGAAATCTCCACTTGGCTGATTTGTGTCCGCAGACACTTACTTATCCTGTGTAGGGTGTGTGGTGATGTCCTCCGAGTTTATTTTGTATGCAGGTCCCTCTGCTCGGTGCTCAAGGTCGCGGGCCGTGGTGATGCTCTCCAGGTCTGGGAGCGAACTCCCTGGGTGAGCATGCCTGCAGGGAAAAGCTCACATCCCCTGGCATAAAAATGCACCCCCGAAGGAGGCGGCACCCCACGGGCACCCCGCCTGCACAGCCTCCCCGCTCTCCTGCGGGATGCGTGATGAATCCTCAAACCCCTTGATTTCATGTGCCAGGGAGGTTTAACTTCAAAATGTTTTCCAACTGTAGCTTTTCCTGCAGAAATTTTATTTTGACACACATCCTCGTGTTCAGCGTCTTTGCTTCACAATGGCTCCTGCGGTCCCTACCCCCAGGACTCTGACAGGAAGATTTAGCACGATGCTCCGTTCTGGTCTGCTCCAGATCTCCTCCCTTCAGATGGGACTTGGCAAACAAAACTTCCTATGTGAAATAAAGGATTCAGACTCTCACCATGCAAGAGAGACCTCCTGAAAGACTCTTTCATGTGGAGCCAAAGAGACTAGAGAGTGTCAGAGTTTTAAAAACAAAACACTGCCGTCAGAAAGGTACACAAACTTCATACAGGAGGGACCCTTCACATGTTGGCAGCCTTTGAATTCAGCTTTTAAATAAAAGATTTGTCTTCAGACTGAAAAAGTGATGCCTTTTATGAGTAATAAAGCATAAAGCAATTTCTTTTTTTCTTTTTTTTTTTCCCCTGGATGAAACTACCATTCAATATAAAATAAGCTGGCTCTTTTGATTTATTGAAAAGCCAAACTTGTATTTCGCCTTGGGAAAATAACACATCATCCAGCTCACCAGTTTGCAGATGCCCGAGAGATGAGGGTGCTGCTGAGACTGGGATTAGGTGTTGTGTCACAGGCCAGTCTGAGGGAATATGGTTCATGTCTTGGGCTCCAGCACTTACCTGAGATGACGGGACGGAAGCTGATGGTGAGTATCATTGCTGGGAATCGGCTGTTAAGAAGTTTTGCACTGTAAGTACGGATTAAGCGTTTGGCTTTTAACAAAGGTTTTTCATTGCTGGTATATGTAAATATAATTAGGTATATAATGAATGTTTCCATTTATTCTTGCATACGATACACCAATGTTTGAATGTGAGCGATGTCCAACAGGAAGCCTCACATACTTTCACCCGAGATGTGACCTGTTCCCCTTTGTTGTGCTTGGGGTCCCCCTTTCGCACTCCCCACTCGGTCACTGGCAGGTCCGGCTCCCTCCAGGCGGCCAGGAGGAGAGCAGCCCCACGGGACCAGAACCCGGGGACAGCTTGACTTTGCCTCCTTGGAGGCTGCAGAGGATATCTTCTTGTCTGGGGCTACCTGGGCTTTTAGATACAGCTAATTTTGGAAGGTGCTTCCTCCATGGGAAGGTACTGGCAGGGTAGAGCAGCCCCCAGGCTCCTGAGGGGTCTTCTCCTGCTCTCTTAAATACACAGGGACTATGCTTTCCCTCTGATACTCAATCCACTGCAAGCCCTTAAAGACCAGATTTCCCTGCAACACGAAGCACTCCCCACTCCTTAGTCTTCTCTTCGTTTTTCTGTCAGTATTAGACCTGGGAGGTTTTGGTGTCAACACTGCTTGTGATTAAAGTACACCACAGGCACCTTTCAGGGAGCCAGGCAGATCCATCCGTGCCACGAGCATCGCTGACACTGAAACCCATGTGGGTCATTCTCAAGAAAAACTGATGCAACAGCCTGACAGGACACGATGGCTTCAGGAGTCCTCAAGGCAGGAGCCGGTGACCGCAGCACCCCTGCTCAAGCTCACTGAGCAAGCAGGCAACAGATCGCAGCACACACGGGATCTGCAAAGGTAAAACTGTCAGCTCAGATAAGCTCTTGCAGCGGTGCCCTGAGTGTGTGCGGTGCACGTGCCCTGTCTCCTTATCTGTAAAATAACTGCAGGATGCAGCATCCTTTTTGCTGTCTTCCATCGATCAAAATCCTCATGTCACCCACCCTTGCCAAGGCAGCACCTTGTTCTGACGCACGGGCGGGTGAAAGCTGCGGAGTAACATCTGTAAGGGGGAAAGCACATACCTGGGTCTGCTTTTCTTAGCACCTTGTTTGCTTAATATGATGTGAGAGCATGACAAATATTTCTGAGGGTACATGTTCTCAAAGTGTTCCCAGAAGTACCTCAACTGCAGCTGTCAGTACGGGATGTAAAGAGAACCTCCCATTTCTTTCCCATTAAAACAAACAAACAAACAAAAAGCAGAGAGCTAACGGGCAGAGGGAGAACAGTGGGTTTGAAGTCACATCTGAAACTTGTAGCTGCTGGACAAAACCAGAAGCCAAGGCTTCTGGTAGCCTTCACCTAACGCTATGCTGGCTTACAGTGAAAAACGTATGTAGGCATCACACATCCAACACCTTGTCCAAAGCACTTGCAAAAGGAGGAAAAAACATAAGGAGCAATTGCAGCTCTCCTTAATTTACACATTTTGTTTAAGGCTGTGGTAAATAGCAGCAAAACAACTGAAGGGGAGGCTGCAGGAGGCTGCATGGGGCTGCAGTTTTGCAGCAGGGTGGCAGCAGCCCGCTGCCAGGTGAAGGGATGCTCCCACGGCAGTGGTGGTCAGGACCTGGGAATGGGAATCCCCACGAGTTTCAAGAGAGGACCACGCTTAAAAGCTTGAGTGAAGACCCGGGTGGTGTCCATGGGGATTTCTGCCAGGGAGTGGAGAGGGGCGACTTGCGTTCCCTCTGCGCTGGTGTGCCAGGGCAGGATAGAGCGGGATAGCGTGGGCAGCCGTGCTGAAGCAACGCTGTGCATGAAACTGCACTCACGTCACG